TAATGACGCATGTTAGCAGTATTTGAATTTTTAATGAAGTCCGACAGGCCATGCCTATCTCTGTGCTTTTCGTTGTCCTGTTCTCCTTCAACTTATTCTACCGCAATTTCAACAGTGAAAGTGCACATCTAAATACCGAATGCTGCTATTTGTCTGGACAAACTGTCAAAATTTCTACATTTCCCACTGTTATAGGCCATTTTTTTGATTCACAATGTCACGGATCACCAACATTGGTATACTTTTTAATTTGCATCAAGTTACACTCTACTTACCACACATTGTTCTTTGAAACAATAACCATTGAACCAACTACAATATGGATATGCAGTCGGTTTGTTCTTCAAGTATCAAAACAGATCAAACGACATAAACAACTTTGTTTATACTATCCAAATGCCATTGCTACATTCCACATGCCTCTCGAAGGTGAACTGAAAGACAAGGGGGCGGTCTTGCCCTTTGACACAGAACCAGCCTAACCATCAAAGGGATTATGAACAAAACTAAACCGTCTTATGAATGCTTTGAAGCTGTCATCCATCACRGCAAATTCACCAYGAAACTTATGACTTTATATTGTCCGCCTTTCTCCAACGAACACCCTGTGACTACCACTACATTCTTGAACAAGTTCACTTCCTACGTCGAAGAAATCATACTATCACCTGAACCACTTATTAATGTTGGTGATTTCAATCTCCATACTCAAATGCCTTCTAAACTCAGTTAAACCACAGTTATCCAAGAAGCTGATTACTTACAGAAAGCTCAAAGATGTTGATATTAAGGCATTTATAGATGACCTCGCTTCTGCCAAGCTTACTCAGGATTCTACTATTGACTATTGACTATTGATCTCGACCTCATTRCTGACAAGTACAACTCTTCTCTCATGCTCCAAAGTCGTCATCGACAAACCCCACCTATCCTGGTTCAACAGTAAAATCCGAACAGTGATCGTTGCCAGACGACGTGCTGAGCGAAAATCATGCTCTATCAAACAGGCCGACCATCTAGCCGAATTTAAAAAGGCAAAGAACTACGCTACTATGATGCTCATGAATAAAGCCAGATCTCTTCACCTGACCGACCTTGTAAATGAAAACTGCCATGATCAGCATGAGCTCTTCAAAACTGTGAACTACTTGCTCTCTGACTCTTAAACTTTATCACCGCCCGCTAGCACAGATTCTGAAGATGCAGCCAATAATATCAGGAACTACTTTGTTCAAAAAGTTAATGGCATCTACAAACACTTCACGCAAGACAACGTAGACACTACAGAGCATCCAGATGACATCATTGACAATGCTACACCACTTCACCACTTCAAAGAATTTACCAAGTATGATGTCAAAGCAATCATAAACAAGACTTCCAAGAAAGGATGCTCATGTGTCGTATTTAG